ATCGACAAAATCGTCTCCACATTCTATTCAAATCAAAAAAGACACATCAATATAAGATTCAATCTCACATTAAACCGTTCTTACCATCAAATATTTCTAAGAAATGTTGCGTGATGCTTAAATGAACTAGCAGCTCTTGCAGTTTGTTTTCAACATGCGCTATTTTGCTTATTCTTCATACACAGAATGAACGCGGAATGCAGCTGTCAAAATGAATTTAAAAAAGTACGTGATTTTCACGTAAGACAGATGGGGCAACTGCAGTAAAAGTAACTGGCGCTTCATTTCATATACAACCAAAGTCCGATGATAGTTACCTTTGTCAGATAAACTGGAATAAAAAAGCATTTTTTGGAATCTACGTGATTTTTCACGTAGAATTGACGTGTGGATTATTTTGAGTGTAGTATGAGGGTGATTACAGTTTGCTCAAAAGTTTCTCGTTTTTGTCAGGGCGGGATTATCATACAGAAACCTGTTTATTTGATTTTGTGTGGGGTTTCGGGCGTGGGTGGATTGGCATATGGGTGATCAGTTCGCGTTTAACTTTCAACGTTAGCAGTTCAGCTAACAGTAGGTGATGGAAAGTGGACGCAGTCCTTTTATGCTCTTCTGAGGTCCCTCTAGTTGGAGGCGGAGCAGCTAGAGTGTGTTTCGTGGTTGATGGGGGCTTACGCTGCTATGTGAGGAACGAAAGGCGAGAGTGCTGTTTCGGTTAAAGAAGTAGCGGCAGCATATCTATGGGAGCTATTCGAAATCATCGTTATGTCATGAATTCCTTTGCAACATCGGGTGAGATCTTTCCTTTATTTTTCATTTAACTTTAATTCCATTATTATATGAAACATTAAATGCTGGGGACTGGACGGTCCACCAGGGCACCCGATTGAAGCGAAATGGATGGGGAGAGTGGAAATGCCAACTGCCTGTCTTTAACATTTCGGGAAAAGAGGGCGGGCTCTTCTTCCCACTCATTGGGACATCCTCCTGTTGGATGGTGGTTGTATGATCCTGTTGCTGCAAGGAGATTCTCATTTATCCCGTGGATGCTCGTTGACGATGCTGCCCACGGATTCACCCAAGCCGTTTTTGGCCCTTCATACAATAGCAGGTTGAGTACAATTAAAGGTACAAGTCGAACAGCGAGGATAGTCCAAACTCTACCGACAGTTGTCTTGCTGCAGTGGAGTGGTAGTTCCATATCATATCATATCATGGACGGGTATATGGGTGATACTATTAAGTTTTCGTTATGATAAAGTTGAAACATTGAGAAATGTATCGGTTCAGTTTTAGAAGTACTTCACTTCGTAACCAATGAACCATTCTAATGGCCCACATTACCGTGCAGCCGCCGTAGGTTGGCAGGGTTCAGCATGGGTTAGTTTGATGTGTATAAAGTAATATCAGTTAAAACTGTATGTTTTGGCTTTATCTCTATTATTTGGTGTTACCTAGCAGATAATCATGTTGGTGTTCGCTCATTCAAAGGATAAATGGGATAAATATCGAGCTCTCCATAGTTGGGCGTTGTAGAGCTTGTGGTACTTGGATAACATTTTATGTGAGTATTTAAGTAACCATATAATCACAAAATAATTTTAAATGTATGTTCAGAGTGAGACAATATCACTGAGTACGATATGGTTAGATGAAACTATTACTTTAAAAAAATAATCCTGGTTGTATTTCTTTTTTGTTTGAATGTAAACTATTTGATATTAGGTACTAACCATATCAAATCCACAGACAAACAGACATAGCACTCGCAAGATGTTCATCGAACAAGCATTTATCGGTCAATTTAAAAGTATCTTAGTTGATAGTACAGCTGTGGCGCGCATAGTCAATTCCCTTGCGTTTGACGTTTCCACACTACCGCCATCTGTTCAGCGTACTACCCACCACAGTGTACTCAACAGATGGCGGTAATGTTTTTAAGGACGATGTTTTACAGTGAGAAATATTCAATGTGTTATGTCTGTTTGTCTGTGTCAAATCTATGATGCACCGAGCGTTCCTTTCGGGATGTGAACCTGAAGAAGAAGAAGCGTGAGTGGTACCATAGAGCCTCTTTTCGGAACTAGTGTATTGTTAATAGACCTGGTCTAAAGGGTGTCCACGATGAAATTGCCACACTATGAAATTGCTCTAACTTTTTAACCGTTGGGTAGAATTTAATGAAAATTTGGGTGGATTTAGTTCATAGTGCATTATTTACATCCTGCAAGTTTTAAAGTCCTGTGATCAAAACTCGCGGAAATGGAGTCGAAAGAACAGCTCGTGCGTGATAAAATCTTGCGCATTCATCACGAGAACAAGGATCTCTCGCATCGTTCCATCGCTAAAACGTTGGGAATCGCGAATTCCACGGTGTTGCGAGTGATTAAGCGGTTTGAGGAACGGTTGACCACCGATCGGAAGCCCAGAAGTGAAGGAAAAAGTATTCCGTACAACACCAAAAATCACATCCGCGTAGTTGGGGCCTTCAACCGAAATCCGAACGCCTCCGTTAGGGATGTGGCTAAGAAGCTGCACCTAAGCCGAAGTTTTGTCCAGAAGACCAAAACTAAGGCTGGGCTTCGAACGTTCAAGGTATAAAAGGCCCCTAATCGCGACGAGAAGCAGAACAAGTCCGCCAAAACCCGTGCCAGGAAGTTGTACCTCAACATGCTGACGAAAGTTGAATGCTGCATCATGGACGACGAAACATATGTGAAGGCCGACTTCAAACAGATCCCCGGCAACCTGTTTTTCACGGCCAAGGATAAGTTCAGCGTTCCGGAGCATGTCCGCACTCAGAAGATGTCCAAATTTGCGAAGAAATTCCTGGTTTGGCAAGCCATCTGCACGTGCGGGAAGCGGAGTGCACCTTTCGTGACCCAGGACACGATGAACGGACAGGTGTACATAAAAGAGTGCCTCCAGAAGCGGCTGCTTCCTCTCCTGAAGGCCCACAACGTCCCAACAATCTTCTGGCCGGATTTGGCCTCATGCCACTACTCCAAGGACGTGCTGAAGTGGTATGCGGACAATAAGGTCAATTTCGTGCCGAAAATGTTCAACCCTCCCAACACTCCGGAGCTCCGTCCCATCGAGAAGTACTGGGCGATTATGAAGCAGCACCTTCTTAAACGACCTAAGGTAGTGAAGATAGTCGAGGAACTGAAGAAAGTATGGGTTTACATGCAAAAAACGGTTGATTCACAGGTTGTGCAGAATCTTATGGCCGGCGTTAAGGCCAAGGTGCGGGCATTTGCGTATGGACTGTAAATAAAATACGAGTAAAATGGTAAAATGAAGTTTGATAGTTATTTCTCAATCCCTGAAAATTTGATGGCAATCGGATGAAAACTCGAATTTTGCGAATCAATTTTGTGTGTGGCAATTTCATCGTGGACACCCTTTACGATTCAAGGTTGGCTTCTGTGATGATTGGTATCACATAAAAGATAAATCTTCATAAAAATGACAATAATCATAACTAGATGAAATGCAAATTCATATGATAGATAACTGGATCAACGATATTTTAACATGCGCATTCAATCTCGACGACTTTTAATTCTGCATGTCAACACCTTTGACTCTCCTTGCTCATATCCTTCACATGCATCTACTCTTCTATGTTAATAATCTTAGCCCTCATTTATTTTTGGCAGATTTCAATCGACTCGCATATTTTTGTAGCTTCTGATTATTTGATTATTATATTACATATTATTACTATATATAAACAATTCGGAATGAGGAGGGCACCCAATTGAAGCGATTTGGATAGGGAGAGTGAAAATGTCAACTCCCTGTTGCTAACATTTCGTGGATAAAAGGTGGGCTCTTCCCATCATTCATTGGGGCATCTTTCTGTTGGATGGCTTGTTTTCTGACCAATTGGCTGATCAAGTTGTTGGAAAGAAATTGTTAACTGTCCCATGGAAATGAATAGGCGAATTGCATATCAATTCATCCATTCGTTTTTGGCCCTTTATACAGCGATTTGCTGGTGGCAATCAGAGGTTATTAAGCTTGATCAAGTTCGGACTAGTTTCCGTGTTACAATTAGTGGTAGACCACTATCATCATCATCATCAATATTCATCAGAGAAAATTTTCATTTCTTTTTAATAATGGAATCCTGACTCTTTTTCCAATAGGGCCTGTGTAGAAAAGCGCTAATGAAGTAAACATAAATACACTGCAAAAACGGCTTTATTCAATTTGAAATTGTACTGGACCACTCTTCATGGGTTAGAGGTCCATATGTGGTCCATGCACTAGTATATATCTGAGGACAGTGATAGCTGATGGGGTCGCGTTGCCAAAAACGGGTAGGCACGCATATGGAATTTTTTTAATTACTGGGTAATCAGGGAATGTGGTTTTCTTCATTGAGTCGACACCCTGACAAATTCATGAATTGGCTGGCATACAGGTAAAACTCTTAATGATTAAAATTGTGATAGGTGGAAGTGCTTTTAGAATACCAAGTTGAGAGCAGGCAACGCTCGCGTAAGAAGTGTCAAAAACGAGGAAGAAGACTAAGCAGTTTAGGAGGGGGAGCCTAGGACAGTCCCTGATAATTAATATTACTTGCAAGAAACGAGGTACTGCCACAACATACTACGATAGGCACCTTCAAAAGCATTGATTTACATTGTCTTGCGATAGTCCTTAGGCGAACAGGTCGTTTGTTGTAAACAGCACACATTGTGACATTACGGAACATGTGCATCTGTAACCAGTACGCATGAGCACTGTACAGCAAACCCGGTGAGAAGCACCGCTGCCATGCCAACCGCATATCCGCCTATAGAGGAAGGAGTGAATAAATGCTTGCGAAAAGGGATCCGGAATTCATAATAAATATTACAGAGTAGGGTGACTTCAATGATGAATCACCATAGCGATCGGATAAACAGTCGGGGAAAAGATTTCAACAAACTTGGTTGACGTTGGGACGTGAATGGTGGATATTTTTGTTCAAGTTTGAAGATTTTTTTAATCACTATACAGGTAATGTTCGGTAGAGAATTGAAAGAAATACGGTGGCCAACATTGGTGTGAACTCATTATAGGCAGTGCAACGGTTGCCGGAACGCGATGGATGACCAACCGAAAGCGGAAGGTGAAGCGGATAAGAAGATTGTTCACGTCTACCCCCTGGTGAAGGTATGATTGATAGTCGTTTAGCTTTCTTGTCACACATTTTAGAGCATTGTTGATTGCTGCACGCTTGAATTTCAATTGTGTATTTATCCTGGACCAGTTTTCCGATATGAATGACGATGTCCGGGCCGAGGCGATAGAACTGAGCATTACAGCGTGTGAGAAATACGCACAAAACTACGAGGTAATAGTCCTTTCTGTTTTCCCCTTTTTGTTAAATCGATCAAAATTCCTATTAACTCAATTGATTTTTTTTTTCAACGAAATCCTTATCCCACGACCACACAAATCTAAACCAATCAGCACGCAGCCAAGGCAATCAAGGAATTGATGGACAAAAAATTTGGCACTTTTTGGCACGTGGTCGTCGGTGAAGGATTCGGTTACGAAGTGTCCTACGAAACCAAGAACATCCTGTACCTGTTCTTCGGCGGTAATTTGGCCATCGTGCTGTGGAAATGTTCGTAGTAGGTGTCGGTGACGTCCAGATGACAAAAACCGTAAAGATGATTGGAAAGTTGGAATTGTAATAAAATGATAGATTTTTTTTGCTGTACATAAACCATCGATTGCAGTCTCATTGATAAGATAAGGATGTACAAATTATGTGTAAATGAAATTGCTGAGTGTGTAGCACTGAGCAAGAAATGGATCCCTGAAGCTCTCTATCGAACTAAAGCTCGATAAACGTATGGAGAAAGTGAGGCCTTTAGGTATCCATTTCAACTTTGTACAAATTGGTGTACATATGTGTACATTGTCTCAACTTTAAATCGTATATAATGGCTTTAACAAACAATATTTAGCTGAAAAAAAATACTTTGGAATTATCAAAACTAAAGTTTGGTGAGGCCATCGACGACAAAAAGTTCCTGTTCTTTTTATTTATGCAATGTAAATATAATCTTCATTTCTCGCGTTCTGCAATGCTGTTCTACTCAAATCAGGAACAAACAGCGTCATTTTCAGGCAGTGTATAGAAATCATAAATATTTGCACTTCAGAATCTGTATCTACCTAAATCTACCCAAACGATGCAAAAGGTCCAAAGGTCCAATGTTACATTGATTGATTCTTCTCATCGACTTTTTGTCCTGGCGACAAATACGTTTCCTAACCCTCTCCTTCTCTCACGACTTTTCGGTCCGGCTCATGTCTGGCAATCGACCAGTACCTACTTATTTAATATACTATTGATTTTAAATAAAAACTATTTTTAATGGTTTTGATAATGTTAGACTGTATGGAACATTTTTTGTTCTAGGATTTTTTTTCAAAACCACATTTTTGCATCTCAAATCAACGAAAGATCTGCTAATTGCTGGAAGGAAAGGGTTAAGATTTTGATGGAGTGTCTACAGATGGAATATCGACGAAGTGAATCGATCAATGTTACAGTAAACCCTCGTATAACATTTGAAAAGGGCCTATCCTCGTTGATTGATTCTCTTAATCGACTTTCTCTTTGGTTTACCACGGCAACATAAACGAATTTCTCGCTAAGCTCGCAGCACATTTCGACAGAATATGATGTTAGGTTGCGTCTGAAACAACACACTGAATGGGAAATTCATTTGCAGTCGGGTTATTCGCGAAAGAGGAAATCGATCAACAATGATAGGCCCTTTTCTCGTGTTGCGCCCTTTTGCATTGTTTTGGGTTGAAGTGCAGGGATTATGGAAGGCCGTCTGAAATCGAGGTCCTGCTATATAGTAACCGTTTGGGAAGAATGTTTTGCACTTGCTTAGGATCTAGTGTATGTCACAAATGGTAGAAATTTTGCACTTCAACCGTTCCTTATACGTTGCTATATGGATACCGTAAAACGGGGTATGTTTGATAGTATAATATAAAAAATAAATTTACTCGCTGTGCTTTTTCCAAATAAGAAACATTGGTTCCATTTTGTAGCTTAAGGTATTTCCGTTGATATCGTATATAGTTTTTATGTAGTATGTGTTACATATTTTACAAAAATATTAAAAAACCATTTTCGTGTTTTCGCCTTTTTGAAAAAGCACTCAAACCATCACTTATGAAATGTATTTCCGATACAGCCATCACAAATTCAATGTTGTATTCTTATTGCTTATGAAGTTTTCTGATTATATAATCATTCAAAGTTTCATATTTAAAGAACTAAATTGTTTGAGATTCACCCATTTTTTTTCTACATTCATCGAGCATTATCTAAGTAACCCCAACCCCAATAAATGTATACCTTAATTTATTCATACAAAAAAGTTAGATTTTTGATTTTAATGGTAATAAGAGCCACCCTAGAATTCATTGTCATAAAAATGAGGGCCTAACTATAAGGAACAACTTTGTAGAAGCGACTTTTAGTCTAAAGTTTCAATTTCAGGCTCAAAACATATCATTCCACCTAAATCTGCATTCTGGACCACTGTGCATTGTGATATCACATCATTATCTAAGTAACCCCAAATCAAAATACTGAAATTCGGTCACAAGACTAAAAAAATAGTTAAAATGCTTTAATTTTCGTTCAACATATCCGGAGTGATTTGAGATTTGGGCGTAATTGAATTTGTAAACAAACCCGTCAATCGCCGATTTCTCGCGAATGAAAGCTCAATTTCGAAAATTAATAACACTATGAGGTGGAGGAATTATACCTTTTTTATTTGGTATAGCTTGTTTACGAGATTGAGGTTTTATTCACGAGAAATCGACGATTGACCTGTTTGTTTACAAAAGCAATTCCGCCAAAATCTCAAATCACTCCGGATATTACTAACGAATTAACTCTTGGATCATCAGTACTTGTTTTAAAAATATAAAATTTAAAAAACTTTCATTGCTGTAAATTTTTTTTTAGAATAAACTTTAAAAAAAACTATCAATGTTACCCCGTTTTACGGTATCTACGAAGCGGGCTTGATGAGTACCTAAGTACAGATAAGTACCTATATTCCAGTTCGAATAAAATCGTCAGGAGCTTTCGGAAACACCTCAAAATACCCGGCTTATGAGTAGTAAACATTTATTGTCGCTAGTTGAAGTTTAATATTGTTTGTCATTTCTATAAACTGGGCTTAAATTACGAAACCACACTGCACGTTAAAAAATACTCACACATTTTAAGGACCTACCCAAGTAATCAACAAGCCCGTTAATTTGCCTTTTTTGCAATATAAAGCGGATATACGGTTAATATAAAGCTTTGACAGCTCTATATTAGCCGTAAGTCAGTCTTATATTTGAACAAAAAAGGTGAACTAGCAAGCTTGATGGTTACTTTGATAGTTCTCTCACGTTTATACGGTGGTCTTCACAGATACAACACTTGAATGGATTTGATTGACGTTAGTATGCGTGCTCTCGTGAATCCAACGGGTTTTAAAAACAAATAAGTTATCTATACTAAGACGATACATTCAGTTAAAAATTAAAATTCATAATTATATAATCATTAAATACATTGGTAGTAAAAATGTAGTTTCCGTAGAATATTGTTAAAAAAATACTTTGCTAGTTAAACAAAAAAAAAAAGGTAATTTGGCACATTCGGCAAACAACACTGTTATCCAGAGTATGTAGTGACACTGTAAAAATACTTGTTTTTTCTTTGCTTCAATAATTACTGTATGCTAGTATGTCTGGGTACGAAATATTGTTGAGTTTGTAGAACAAAAGAAAATGTTCGATTGTCTTTGTCTAGATTGCTAATGTTGCAGTAGCGCATGCTAATTGGTCCTTCATAAATATCGTGGTATTTGTCGTGCTAGGAAATCTTGTTCCACCGTTCTTTCCAACTAGGATTAGGATTGTTGGAAATGTGTAATCAAAATTTTGGTCGACATGGCCAAATCGTACGCACAACCCCGAACCTGCTCCATGTTCTGCTTAATGCTATCGGACAGCACCGACTGGCTACTATCCTCGGCGAACGATCGTTGCAGCCGGGCGCATTCAGTCTGGATCAGATTGGTGTTATAGTTTAACTGTTTGAGTGCATTCCGGAGAGTCTCCTCGCGCATCGTCGCCGGGAAGATGGCAATCAGTTCAGCCACCGCCACCCGTATCCGTTCGGCACACAATACAAATGCATCCGTTTTGGAGAGGTCTTGCATCGAGGCGAACAGTTCTTTGATGCGTCTGGCCACCAAATCGGTACGTTTTTTAACTTCATCGAACAAAGGTAGCTGCGCTTGGCTACCGCCTACAGATGTGGCGCCAGAGGTGTTTAGATCCGAGCCGGCACTGGTGTTCATGCTGGCACCGCCGGCCGGGGTGTTATTGTTGTTGGCCAACGGAGTCATCGAGTATAGGCTTTGGGTGATCGGAGGACGATTTTCGTCCCGCGGTAGCTGCCTTGCTTCGTACATACTTGCCGGGCGTTTATAGTACTGGCGACCGTCGGATACTGGTTCCACTTCCTCTGGATCGCCCACGGAGGATCCGTTTAGGTGACCGTCGATTCGTCTGAAACAAGAGATGGTGGTTTGAATTTGATCGGAGAAAGATGTTCCTACTTACAATTGCACATCATATTCCTTAGAGTCTATGTGGGACTTGAGTTGGTTGTTTTCGCTGGCCAGCTTTTGTATCAACTCGCGAAGCTCGTTTATGGTCGATTCTTGGTCCTGCAGCTTCTGCCGGAGGGTTTCGACTTCGACGTTCGAGACAACACTGGGTGGTGACTTGTTTACCAGTGCCTTCAAAACAGGTACAATTTTGCATTTTCGATCAACGGTTTTATTTTAATTCGTTTGGAATTAGTCAACGGTTTAGAAGGAGCGACACTTATTGGGATAAATGAGTATGGACATGGGTGATACAAACGGAGAATTAAGTACAGTTAGAACCGTATGTTAGTAACACGTGTATTCTTTGGCTTTATCGTTTCACAGACACAGGTTTCGGTTAGTATGTTATTGAAACTTAACAAAATCGCTGCAAGCTACTGGCTACATTGAGTTTCGATTTAGTAAGTTGTATTAGACATAAAGTTCTACAATGCGCTACTTAAAATTTATAACATTCTATCAGGTTAGTAAAAATGTATATGGTTTCAAAAAAATTGCTCGTTGATAAAATGATTCGAATCTGGACGGCTTTGCGATTAAGCAGGTGAGTGCGAAGAATTACAGAACAGCGCGCTGGGTAAATATACAAATCAAATACCGTTTTGTAAATTATTCGTTTCCACGAATACACTCAGGGTCCCCTGTTTGCACCGTTGTTGCTAAGTCTTAATCAGTTTTATAACTGATAGTTTCAAGTCTTACAAATGTTTCTAATATCCGATACGTCGGGTTCAATACCTAAATCCAAACACTATTAGCTACAGAGTTACCTCTATGCTGTAAGTGTTTCTTGTTAAATATGTGGTCTGAAAGTCTGAGACTACAGTCATATAAGATTGAAACATGCAACATACTAACGATACTTTGGTTACTTTTGCGTAATTAAGAGTAATACAAATTTACTCGATTTAAAAATATTAGCTCGGAGTACAGCTGGCTTGCCCTAGACTTCAAGGGTATAGCGATGCAGATTGAGGAGGAGATCCTGATGACAGAAGATCGACACCAGGTTACTTGTTCACCATGCAAGGGGCTGCCATATCCTGGAATGTGAAGAAGTAACCAACCGTAGCCCTTTCATCATGTGAGGTGGAACTCATGGCACTTTCGAGGGCCATACAAGAGGTGATGTGGTGGAAGAATCTGCGCTCGGAGCTAACCGAAGTTGAAGCAATACCAATCTACCATAGAGGTAACTCTAAGATTTATTTATTTGTCAGCATCAACAGACTCGATATGGTCCCAATGATGGTTTAACTTAACAATCAAATTAAAGTCATAAGTTAAAACTACAAAACATTAAAACATGATCATTGACTGTTTCCATTTCTGAAGAAGTGTTAGTCGTGGCAGGTGAAAATCGAATACTGATGAAACTCGGTTAAATACTTGCTGCAGTCCGCCTATTGCACCGTTGATTGCATAGTTTGTCCTACGTAGTGTCATTCTCAGCATAACATTGTTTCGAAGCATTCGGGGTTGGACGTTAATGTTTACTTGCGCCAAGATTGCCATGCTGGGCAAATGAAACGGGTCTCTCCAAGGTAACATTCTCAACGCGTATCGCAGAAAGCGGCGTTGAACGGACTCGACTCTCTCAGTACCATTGTTGTAGTTCGGACTCCAAACCACAGAACAATATTCTAGAATGGAACGTACCAGGGAACAATACAGTGACTTGAGGCAATGGATGTTGGAGAAATTCTTAGCTGTTCTGAAGATAAAGCCCAATGTCCTTGACGACTTGTCGACGACGTACGAGATGTGTTGCTTATATGTAAGTTGAGAGTCCAGGATGACACCTAGATCTTTTACATGGCTCACACGTTCAATAATGGTGTCCCGGAGAGCATAGTGAAAAATGACTGGTTCTTTCTTTCGGGTAAAAGTGATGACTGAACACTTCGCAGGATTTACTGTCATTCGGTTCAAATGGCACCAGCTGGCAAACGCTTCAAACTGACGTTGTAGGAATTGACAATCATCGATCGAGCAGATCCGTAAGTAGATTTTGAGATTGTCTGCATACGATAGTCGTGGACCTTCGATAACTAAATTCACGTCACTGAAGTAGAGTAAGAAAATCAACGGTTCCAGATGACTTCCTTGAGGTATTCCTGACGTAGCTGCGAAAATGTCGGACTGGCAGTCACCATAGGCTACCACCAACTGACGATCGGCGAGATATGAGCAAAACCATCTCAAGAGATTTCCGCTAATCCCAAGTCTATCCAATTTGGCGATCGCGATGGCGTGATTTATCTTATCGAAGGCAGCAGACAAGTCAGTGTAGATGACGTCTGTTTGTGACTGTTCAACCATACTTTGCGTGATGTACGATGTCAGCCACAGTAGATTCGTGGTAGTAGATCGACCAGAGGTGAAGCCATGTTGATCTTCACTTAGATACTGCTTGCAATGGGAGGGCAGAGGCTCTATGATGATTAACTCGAATAAATTCGAAATTGCGAACAACGATGTAATTTTACGATAATTATCCACGTTCCGTTTACTACCCTTTTTATACACATGGAAAAATGCCAAACGATATGGACAATCGGAACAGATGTTGTAGCGGTGACAGTAAGTTAGCGATATGCTTCTTCAGAAAGACTGAAGGGACACCATCCGGTCCAGGGTTGATAGAAGGCTTTAGTTTTAGTGCGGCAGTCGTTATCACTTCAGCGTTGACCCAGAGCTTGACCGGAAAGTGGAACGCTGCTTGCTGCTAGAGTCACGTATTCGTTGGTTAAGCTCTCGTCAGAGAAGACACTTGCAAACTTGTTGGAGAACAAGCGGCAGACTTCCTGTGGAGTGGAAGCGACTTCGCCGTTCAATATCATGGATGATAGTAGACCGGACTCTCTGCGCTGCTCCTTCACGTACTTCCAGAAAGATCAGAAGGTCCCGAAGAAACGTGCTCAACTTTTTGGTTCAGCTCTGGCACTCTCTCCGGTCCCAAACTAATCGATGCACCCCTCGAAACATAGGAAAATCCCCGAACAACTCATTTTATCTCATCTGTCCAACATTCATAGCGAATCAAAAACAAACAAAGTGTAGTACTCGAATGTCGACTAGAATGGGGTACGTTAATCTCTGAGCTACTTAAAACTTCTACTCTGAACTCACATAATGCAGTACCAACATGTCAAAGGGGCGTAATTGCTTTTGTAAACAATGGCTTTAAACAATGGCACCCCTCCAAATTAACAATGCTGGTTGGTAGAAGAAATATTTCTCTACCTGTTGGTGTCATTAATTTTCATGAATGAGCTTTTATTCGTGAAAAATCCTCATTGTTTACAAATGCAATTACGCCCCTTGGAAATGTTGGCACTGAATTGACTTGGAGTTAAAATCTAAATTCTCCTAGAGTTCCTTCAATTTTCTCTAAAATACAATGGAGTTATCCCTAACCTTCATTCTAAAATCTCCACAAAATAACGCTGGCTCACCCACCCCTACACACATTGAATGTTGAATAAGAGCTTATTCAGGCAAATTTAAGCTTCTTCAGCTAAAAACTAACTTATTCAGCTGTTAATCAACTCAAATTGTTTGATGGGACGTAAGCTTACAGTACCATAATTTTGGGGCTATTTTAACCTAGCTGATGGGGGGGGGGGGGGGGGGAGCACGTTTCTTCGAGACTTTCTGGTCTTATAGAGTTACCTCTATGGCGTTAGTTTGCGTAGGCGAGCAGAGTTTCGACAAATTGACGTTTGAATCTTTGTTTACAAAAGCAGGTATGGCTATTTGAAAATTTGCTCTTGATTCTCACTCACATTCTTCAAACATAGTGTAGTACTAGAATTTTGACTAGAATGGGGGGTACGTTCATCGATGTACTTGGGACCGATATTTAGGCTAGTCCAGTGTGAGCCAATTTAGTTTCCACCGGTTGGTTCTACGTAGTTTGGTAGTAGCCGGTGTTTTTAAGGAAGTCGAGAAGTGATCTTTTCCTGTCTGGGTCATTGGATAATGCCTCTGGGACCGTTACCGTATTGGTCTCGGAAGTTTTGATATGCAGGACAATTTATTAGAAGATGCTCAACTGACATTTTGGTTAAGCACCCCACACATTGTTTGTGGAATCCATCGCGGTATCCGAGATCGTGTGAAAATCTGGTGTAGCCCAGTTTTTGGTGTCGGACCAGCATTTCGTCTCTCGTTTTATTTTGCGTACGAGAGGGTCTCGGGTATTATCTCATTCAGTGTACCATGCCGAAGCGATGATCGTTTAGACCAGATGTTTAAATCAACTGCAGGTACTTCCGGTTCCACTGAGATTTCCGATCTACCGTTTGCTGCCAGCCTTTCCGCAGCCTCGTTTCCACTGATACCGCAGTGGCTGGGAACCCGGACATATACGCTGTTACTGTTCGAAACCATTCTAATTGCTTGCACCAACGGGTGTCGGTTCTTCGGACTCTCAAGGGCCTTCAGCACACTGGGCGAATCGTTAATGATGGCCTTCCAGGTGAAGCTGGACTCCGTAACGGTAGAGAAGATGGCAGCTGGCTCAGTCGAGAAGATCGACGTAGGCTTAGGAAGGCCTCTGCTGGTATCTAGGATGGGGCCGCATACACTATAGCCGACTTCGCTCACTGTTTTCGAACCATCCGTTTAGATTCAGCGTTGTTCTAATGAGCTCGTTGAAGCGCGGGACCACAGTGTGGGGGTTCAGATTTTCTTTGTTAGGTTTATTTAATGCCCATATGATCTTAGGTGGAGAGTAGTCCCACGCTTCGTCTCCGACCCAGTGGACACTGGGAGGAGGTTCTGGTAGGTGAAATCTTGAAGGATCTTGTTTGTCTCTTTGAAGAGGAACACTCCCTCGTCGTCTCCGGTCGTCTTCTCCAGGAAACTGGTGGCTTTGGAACAAACGGCTTTTGCGACGCCAACGGTGGTTGTTGGTGTTCTGCTGGTGGTAATTCGTAACAGGTTCAATCGACTTTCACATTGCCATTTTATCCGATCACAGTGAAGCTGAAAGATCAGGTGACGGTCTAGATATACTCCGAGAACGCGGATCGTGGCGTCGAAAGGTATTTCTTCTCCACTGATTTTGGGGGGATTCCTTTTAGCTCGGTGTTTTCCTAAGCACAGGTGGGTGGCGATAGTTCGAATCCGACGGATGATGCCCAAGCATGCACTGCCTCGATGGCGCTTTGCAGACTCCTGCGAATCAGGGCGAGTCTATGGGAAGACTCCGTTCATGGCGATGAGGAAGAGGGTTACCGCCAGCACGGAGCCTTGGGGAACGCCGGTTTCCTCCGGAAAAGAGTTTGATTTTGCATTTCCGATGCACACCTGGAAAGTTCTGTTAGTGAGGAAGTTGCGAATGAAAGTAAAAGTGTTCCCACCGACACTCCAGCTGGCCAGTGTTGCCAACACTCCAGGAGTCCAAGTGTGGTTGTACGCCTTTGTAAGGTCCAGCGTGGCCAAGTCCACGAGGAGGCCATTCTCGAGGGCATCATTCAGAACTTGTCCGAGAGTTGCTAAATAAGTACTTGTGCCCCATCCTTGGCGAAATGCATGTTGGCGGTGGTCGAGGAGGTCGTTGTTCCGGATGAATTGCGTTAGTCTTCGATTGACCATCCGTTCCATGACCTTGCTGCAAGAGCTGGTCAGCGAGATGGGACGGTATCCGCTCAGTTCCGTTCGCACCGAGTCCTTCTTAGGAATAGGGATAACAAGACTATGTCGCCACTGGACGGGGAATGTCCTGTCTCTCCAAAACGACTGTATGCTGAAAATCTATTCCAGGCCAAAAATGTTAAAAATTTGTAATGATCATCGAAATTCACGGGTTTTTCCAGGTGACTTCGAATTTTCGGCTTTTCCCGGTTCACTGGTCACCTTGATTTATTCCACGTTATAGTGATTTATAATTGGTTTCCGTTATACAAGAACAATTAATCACAATTGTTCTTGTATGTTGCAAATAGCTTATTATACGTTACAACTCCCTAGTTTGAACATGGCATTGGAGTTACCGGAACATAATCTGTGTTTCGATTAAACAATTTTCAATTTTTGATTTGAAATTGGTTTATATTAAACCAATTGAAAAAGTAGCACATAAGTTGATATTGAAACCCATCTTTGACGTTCTTAAGAACCCATACTTGGAATTGATTTGAAGTTTATAGCAAGCATGGAGCCGCATACGATCAAAATAGTTTACCATGCGTTTCCATGCTCTATACTAGATTTGTTAACAGTGACCGTTACAATGTTCGCAATTCTTCGTACTCACCTTGGCGAAAGAATCTTTGGCATGCGGTTTTAATTTCCTATACAAGTTCGAACTGTTCGGCTACCATAGTTCCTTGAACACGATCACGAGCACAGTATGATTGATTAGTCAAAACGATACACAAACTCAACATATGAAGCTACATCTAATGGCACACCAGATGACACATGGACTGAGTTCCTCGATGAAAAATGATTCCCTATGTTACGATCTACGTTAATATCACAATCCTTTTCCTTCCGCCACCCACCAACAAGAAAACAAAACGAACATACACGCGCCGGTGGAGTACCGCCATGCTCCTCCACCTTCCTCCCCGACCCAGGCGTAATTTTTCAACCGAAGCTGTGGTTATGGTTTAGTACCGCTTTTTGACGCATCAGAAACTTTACCTGTTGCGCCACCGGTGCCAACGCGGCGTAATCATCGTCGGATGCAACCGCATCGTACAGCGGTTCATCGTCCGAGAGGTTCGATTCCCTGGCGGCGGTGCCCGTGACGCTGGCCGTGTTCTTCAGCTGCGCCAACGTTACCGATAGCGGAGCGGAATCAATCGGACGCAGGTTGGCCATATTCTGACGACGGCGGGCATCGATCAGGACATCACTAATCAGCCCGGAAAATTCCTGCTGGCTGAAGCGGGCCAACTTTTGACGACCCTGCATTGGAACGGAAAGTTAATTAATTTACTAAAAATTTTGATACACATTTATTGAAAAAAAAATCACCTGATTTCTTGTAGCACTCAGATGAGGATTCGTGGGAAGAAACGGCACGGCACCGATCTCCGGATTAAGCGAACTGGTAGCCCAGATGGCTTCCGTTTCCCGGCGGTCCACTTCATCGTACAAATCCATCACCAGTTCTTCGAACATTCGATTCGGAACCAACTGCAGCTTTCCTCGGGCAATTTTCAACTGTTCGCTGATTTCCTTCTTCGATTGGTCTGGAATGAGCAGGTGATGGCCGGACTGAAATATATTACCATTTGAGTATAACTTAACGTTATTTTTCATGAGAAATCCTTCTTCAATAATCGGTACCCACCGCATGATCCGGTTTCTTTCCCGTTAGGAAATAGCTCAAACGATCCGTAACTTCGTACATAGCCTCTACCAACCGCTCGGTGATGGCGGTCTGCTTGCAAGCTTTCGCCACGTCCAGGGGAGTGTTTCCCTGGGAATCGAGTGCATTCACGTCCGCCCCGTACACCAATAGCAGTTCCATTTGCAATAGTTGCCCCGACCGGGCAGATACATGTAGCGGTGTGGATCCTTTCTCATCGTGGAAGAAATTAGGATCGGCACCCTGAACCAACAGTCTCAAGCTGGTTTCCAAATTGCCAGATCGAACGCTGGCGTGCAACTGTTTGCTCAGTTCCACTTCCAAATTCACTCCTTCGTCTAGAGTTGGCTTCAGTACGTACGAAAGATTGACATGTTTGGCACGGATGAAATCTGCCTTGGTTGGATGGAGCGGATCCTTGGCCGTTGGCTTTCGTTTCAGATTTTTCGGTGCAACCGAGTCCAATAACAGGTGCTCCCAAACGCTGTTGGCCCCGTGACTGTTGAGCTGATTAACGAACGTTAGAACCGACGGAGACCAGCTTCCCTGGCGTAGGGATTTGACATGGGATATGTGGCGCCCGAGGCTACGATGAATCGAGCAGCAGTCCGCACACAGCAAAATGCCTCGGTTGATCGAAGCCCAGGAGGGATCTGTTAAGCAAGTTAACATAATTCCAGTTGAGAAATTGCGTAAAAGCATTCAATCTTCATCCGGAGTGCATAATGCAATCCGCACCTTAACCAGGTCGCGAATGAGAAGCGCAACAAGTCCATAAATAGCGTCTCGGTAATTGCCGTGGGTGTGTGAATGAATGAAAGTCCACCCTCGTCATCATCATGAATGGAGAAGAATAAAAAATAAACGACTCACCTGAGCAGCCACAATCGCCGCAGGTTTCCGCCTGGATTCGTGACTTGGCGCGGGACATTTTCGGCTTGCTGTTGCTGCGACTCAAACAGGTAAGCGCTAGTTCATGCTTTGACGCAATTTTTACTCTTTTCGGGCTCCGTTCCGCGGGAGAAAATCACGCAAATTTCGCTACCGGACCAAAACAAATCACTGCTCGCTGCCCGTCCGAATCGCCATCTTTTATTTTGGTTTTGCAGATGACAGAACACTGCATCAACAACAACAACAACAAAAACACCATCAGAAGGAGGATTTTGGTGTGCGACTCCCACTGTGGGCATCAGGAGCGTAGAAAAGGGACAAAATTGACGTCTTGCAGTGAAATCTTTGCGAGCTTTCGCCACCTACATTTCGAAGTGAGAACTGTTATATGGATGATGGTTGCAAGTTTATCCGCGGGAAACTTCCGGTATAATTCTATGATGTTTTCACGAAAAATTATTCATTGCAATTTTGCACTCACTCAAATGGCAAGGTTAGCTCCTGCGGAAAATGGTGAAAATGTGTGATTTCCACTGAGATAAAATAGGAAAGGTATTATCACAGACAAACAGACGTAACTCTTCATTGTGTATCTTCGTTCACGTATTTGACGGTTGATTTGAATATTATCAGTTGCGCGACCTACTCGCCGCAGCTCTGGCATCAGATCATTTTGACGTTTCTATACATTCTATAGAACTTTTATGCAATATAGAGATTGCTAAAGTATGACTGTGTAAGTGATTTGTTTTCATCGGGAAAATTTTCCGCTATGAAGTTTTTTTTCCCGATGAAAACATTTTGCGTATACGTATACGTGACGCACACTACGTACGATAAACGTCAGCAATCTCTATTGTTTGCGAGTTAGCAAGGAAGCTTCTTTTTCGCGAGAAACCCGAGAGATGTCGTTACTGAGGTCCTATGTTTTGAGATACTATGTTTTCAAGAAAAACTTTTTCAAAGAGTTACGTCTGTTTGTCTGTGGTATTATGCTGGTGATATTAAAAGAAATGGTATTATTCAATAATAGATCATAATAGTTCCTTTTAGGAAAACTTTTGGATAGTCACAAATTTAGATGGACAATACAACCACAGAGAACAGACGTTCAAGTTCGGTCAGAAACTTGTGTAAAATAAGTGGGAACGTCGCCGTTACGTGGTGTTAGTGGTGTTAGCATCTCCTGATTTTCTCTATAAATTTTCCACTTTCGACCAATTTGGCGCTAGTATCGATAAATTTTCTGTTGAAAATTGCCACTTGGCGCTACTAGCATAGAGGTAACTCTAAGACCACTGGGTCCCGAAGAAAATCATTATTATTTTTGGCTCACTCAGTACCAGAACAACGGTCCCAAGCAGTCCCAAGCTATTTCACTCACCCCTGCATGTTCTGCATGAATCCACACACCCCTGATGTTATCTGTCAAACTTTCATAGCGAATCAAAACAAACATAGTGTAGTAATAGAATTTCAACTAGAATAGGGTACGTTAATCGTTTGCTTGGGACCAATAGGCTACTAAAGTGGTGAGCCAATTTAAAATCGTTAGTTTCGTATTGATTGTTGCTATTAGTGTTTAGGAATATTTTTGTTGAGAAAAATGTAAAATTCCAATAGTGCCTTATTGGTTATGATCTTCCGGATTTCTTGTGTGTGGATAGTTTAGGTGCAAATCAGTTCAGATGTGTGGAAAATCGTAAAATAAGACAATTGCTGATGGAAATTCGCAAGATGTTCAATGAAAAATGCTTTAATTTGCGTTGTGAAAAATCCTTCTTCTGATGCCAACAAACGGTTTAGTTGACGTTTCCTCTCGAACTCGCGTGTTGCCCTCTACGTTTGTGGTGCATTAAAAAGGCCTATTAACACAGAGAACAGACGTCCGTGTAGTGGAAACACTTGTGTAAAGATAATTGGGGACGTTGGCGTTGGTGGCGCTTAAATCGAATAGGAATCTTTACACAAGTTTTTACAGAATTTTAGTTTGAGCCTCAACGTCTGTTCTCTGTGGAGGTAGCACAGACAAACAGACGTAACTCTTTGAAAAAGTTTTTCTTGAAAACATAGTATCTGAAAACATAGACCTCAGTAACGACATCTCTCGGGCTTCTCGCGGAAAACAAGCTTGCTCGCTAGCTCGCAAACAATATTGCATAAAAGTTCTATAGAATGTATAGAAACGTCAAAGTGATCCGATGCCAGCGCTGTGGCGAGTAGTTCGCGGAACTGATAATATTCAAATCAACCGTTAAATGCATGAACGAATATACACAATGAAGTGTTACGTCTGTTTGTCTGTGGAGGTAGCATGGATTGCCAAAGATGCAGTTCGGATTCTAGAAAGGGATATCCGTGGTGAATGCAATTCGGACAGTGATCGCGAAAGCCGAGAAGTCGTCTAAGGCTGTGAACCATTTGCTGAGTTAAATTTAACTCGTGGTTAAAAGTGACTTTTCGAAAGTTATTTTCTATGTTTGAAAATCCCCGTGCTTAACTTCTTGGTTGACAGAAATAACCACACAGCAAAAAAATGTAATATCGATCAACGTAATTGAAGCTGATGTTTGAAATAATGATGTAATAGCAAAAATCAGATACAATATTACATCAATGGATGTAATTTTGTTCGCAAAATCGATGTACATCGTACAATGTGATATTACACAACCGATGGATTGACCTGGTTGCAGCAGTTTAGATGTAATATTCAACAACTTTTTTTGCTGTGCATGCTCGGATAGCAGGGCTCAAGGCCGGCGCACAATAGATACGTTTTCAGGTTTTTTGACAGCTAGCCCATGCATTATCTGTCAAAAAACCCGAAAACGTATCTATTGTGCGCCGGCCTTCATGGATTACAAATTTACATCTGTCAAGTTTTAACCAAAAAAAAAAAAAAAAAAAAATCGCCAAATGGTTCAAAGTCTAAACACAAATGGAGGGCTAATCGATATTGCGCTGAGATATCGAGAGACGTCAAGAACGGATTCAGCGCTAGCTAGGAAGCCATCGCCGAAGTATTGCAAAGGATTAAGGTTCCTGACTACCTATAGAGGATTATAAGGAGTTCTGATCTACGAGACAGAAATGGGTCAGAGTTTGATTAGGATCAAGGTGGAAATTCCTTAAGAGGCTTCATCCTTGATCAAACGCTCTGGAAGGTACATCCCAACGGCGTGCTGACACTAAAGCTGCCCAAAGATGTCGAGATCGTTGACGGACGACGTTGTCTTAATGGTAACAGATGGGACGCTAGAAGAAGTGGACATGCTGACTACCGAGGTGATCGAAACGGTTGGAAACTGAATGCAAGGAGCGAACTACAGCTAGCCCACCACAAAATGGAAATGTTATTGGTCAGTAACGTCAAAGTGATGCAGCAGGCAGAAATCACCATGCCATACCCTTGAAGTGAGTGCTGTAATACCTTGGAGTGATGATGATCGACGACTTCAATAGCCACTGGATTCCGGTATATTCGGTATTGGATTCCATGATCTCGGGGAATCGATTTATGTTATTTTAGTTTAAAACAGAAATATGAACAGTACCTAGTGAAAATACGGGATGAAACTCCTAATCTGGAGACGTCATTTAAATGTTTTGAAGAATACCTGATAATACTTGATCAACCCGATGTCTTGAAAAATTATTCAGAGAACTATATTGTAATCTTGGATCAGCTGGAGACCTTTTAAATACTTGCTGGCTAATATCTGAGAGATGGCATTCGAACAGTTGCAGATTTTCAGAATAATTCTTGAAAAATGTCCAGAGGGCTTTATTGATATCGTATTGAAAATCCGTGAATATCAACGAAGTTCTCTAAAATTCTTCGAAGTTTACTGAATAACTTATTTGCTGATTTTAGTACTTACATCAAGTTTCTTCAACTTAAACTCACTTTCTTATCTTCTTTCCAATCCATTGAACTTTTTCCAAAGTTTCCTGAGCTTCTACGCAGTTCACTGAACTTGCTGGATGTTCCTCAATCTCCATGGTAGTTACATTAACTTCTACGAATTTGCTATAACTCGTACAATGTTCCTTGAACATTGAGAAAATTCCCTTTTTTAAATAAGTTCGTTCATTTACTAGGCTCAGTCGTGTGTGACACTTTGCGGATCCGAAAATCAGTAATGTTTGTATTTACATTTTAAACATCAGTAAATCTATGTTAGTAGTGAATAGCAATTACTCGTGGTGGGCTCGAGGTTATTGGGTAACAATTTCGATTGGAATGATCTAGGTAGGGAACTGGTTTCCTAAGCCACCTTTAGATACTACTCTTGGACGGTTGACCAAATGCTGGCTGAGCAGGGGCAAGTAGCACAGAAACAGGATGATAATAAGACTGGTACACAATGGCGGGAAATTGTTTGGAAAGGAGGAGATGATCACATCAAACTCTAACGTCAGACAAACAAAGGAATTCATAAATCGCATGCATGTAGGGAAGATCTCGGGATCCCAATACATCTCTTACTTCACGGTTGTCTACCTCGGGCCTCAAGGGTATCCAATAGTCGTGCTCTGGAGACGTCATTACCCGGGCAAACTGCGTGATCGATGTCATCATAACCGGTACTGCACCTGCATATATTTTGCTGTCAACGTGTTTATTCTGTAGAGATGTGCGTCTAGCAAGTAGTAGTTGGACATATAAGTCTTGACATCACGCGAATGAAGCCCCGGCTTACATCCAGACCTTTTAACCACGCTCCCGAAGAAATATTTGGAATAATGGAATGTAACCACCGCCCAAGAGAATTACTTGTCCAATCGTTTTGCCAACTTAGAAGAGATCTCTGACGTACTAATGGGAAAAATTCATCATGTGAAATTCTTCTACCATAAATCTCGCCTTATTTAGCGCCCATATTTGCTAGAGAGTCCGCCTTCTCATTGCCTGGAATTGAGCAATGTGAGGGGACCCATCAAAAGGTAATTCTAAATGATCTTTCGACCAACGCACACATTCCCTTATCTTTGCTTCTAGAAAAATTCCTCAACTTCTACGAAGTTCCCTGAAGAAGTTTCATAATTATTTTTTCAAAGCTATCCTGATTCAACCAACATATCAGAACATACATCAACTTCTCTAAACTTCCGGGAAAATCCTGAATCTTGTCGATGCTTCCAGGAACCGTGATGTTCTAAGAAGTTTGCTGAGCTTCTAAGATATGCCTTGAGCTTCTACGATATTCCATGAATTTCTGCAAAATTTTCTGCAGCTTCCTGAACCTTTACAAAATTCCCTGCGCTTCGATGAAATTTTACGAAGATTCTCGAATGGCTATGTAATTCGCTAAACTACTATGAAGTTCACTTCTAAGGATTTTTTCGATTTTCTGAGAAGTTTCCTGAACATTTATGGAACTTCCTGAACTTAACCACTTCTATTAAACTTTGACGAAGAGCCCTGCAGATTATATCATATCTTCATATCTTTTATGAAGTTTCCTGAAATTAAACAAAGTTAACTTTAACGAAGTTTCCCAAACTTGTACAAAGTTCCCACTTCTACGGACTTTTCCCGAATTTTCACATAGCTCCCTGAGTTTTTACGATTTCCTCTAAAGCTCTACAAAGTTCCCCGATATAAAATTTCATGAATTTCTACGATGTCCAAATACAATCCACGCTGTCGTCAACCAGAGATTGTCCAGACTGAACACTTAACACAAGAAACGGGCCCAGTAGACCTGTAGGGAAATTTTCTTTTTAGGAAAAGTACTATTGACTGAAGCGGGAATAGAACTCTCACTTCGTAGCACACACAATACTCCTGAATGGCGGGTGACGCCACTAGCAGCATGACAACGAAACCCATAAAGTTCATTTAGTTTCTACAAAGTTCTTTGAGCTTCTACACAGTTTGCTAAAGTTCTACAAAATTCTTTGCACTCCTACGAAGTTCATTGAAGAGTTACGAAGCTCGTTGAGCTTCTACAAAGTTCGCTGAGCTTTTACAAAGTTAGCTGAACTCATATAAAATTTGATGCAAAGTTTTCAGAATTTCTTCGACATTTTCTAAAGTTCTTCGAGATTCCCTGAACTTTTTAAATCCGCAATACTGAACACCTTCCCCCACCCGCAAATTTAAAAACTAACGGTGAAAACATTGGAAGACATTTCATGGATCTCGATGAAGATGAAGTGAAGGGCAATCGAAATGTCTCAAGTGAGTTTTATTTGTTGACACTTTAGTAAGTTTAAGTAAATTAGCTTCGCAATCTGGAATTTCAACTCACGTGTTTGATATTAGTCTTTCTTTTCACCCGTCGAATCACTCGAATCCTGCATTTTACTCTTACTCTTCTTTTTGAGTTTGGACCCCATCTGCATGGCACGTCTTCTCGCATTGAACATACTTTTCAACGCCCGTCCAACGAATCCGGAAGCTCCTTGCCCGGTGCCTTCCACATGTTGTTCCAGGTTCCAAAATTCCAACAACATGGTAGCGTACAAATAGTACCATGTCATTCTGGAACTGACCACCTGACTGACCATTCGGTCCTCCAGGATCACGGTTTGGACTTCGATGAGCCGACGTCTAATGCGCCTATCATGTTCACGGCTCGCTTGATCGCATTTACAACATATGGATCGCTCGTGTTCCCCGGATGCTTTATTAGTAACGCTGGGACTGAGTACGCTACCACCATCATCGCCATCTTCCAGATCCGATTCAATGCGAGCGGTATTGAAAATGTCACTGAGCCCGTTGGATGATTCATGATTAGCTTCTTCAGGGGTAGCAGGCCGCGATGGTTGACCCTCCACCGGGCTACTATGTCTTTGCGATGCATAGCTACCCTGTCGGCGGCTGAAACGGAGCTGCTCTGCTGTTCGCATGCCTTGTCGAATCCGATGAACGTTGAGCTGCAAGGCCATCTTTCGGCGGTGGCGGTCCTGTTTGGTGGACGCGATACATTCCATGGTTGATGCACACTGCGAACAATGCAAATTCATAAATTTGGTCATATATTTTGTTAAAAATAAGGCAGCAGAAAATGGCACCTGTGATGCTATGTTGATTAGGATAACGATATTGTTGTAGGCAGTCGAAAATATAACTCACAGCCTCGATCTTCTGCTTATTGCATGCGTCCTGTTGATGGCTGCATTTCTAAGCCTGCTTTGAGGATTGTTTCATTACTATTGAGAAGTGGACCATGAGCATCACAGTTGATCTGAACAGAGGTGCATTGTTTGTAAAGCACACATACTATGGTTAACACTATAAGAAGATTCCCCATTTCAACATTCAAAACAATTAGCATTTCATAGAGTTCAGAGCATTCGCATCGAACGTTGTAAAATATATTTTGTGCATGACCTGAGATTTTTTTTAAATACCTGGTAAGTTAAGCAAATCTAAATTCACAATAATCTAAACTTTATTCAATGGATCCTTACAGACGCAGTACGCTTGTTACGCAGAAAACAGTAATTGTAGTAAAACTTGTAAATAGCACGAAGATCTAGATCAATGATGGCCAACCGCAAAGAACCAAGCTGTTGCTGTTCGAAGCTGGGTGGACCAGGATGTGAGCACGATTCGCGAGTACCTCCGATGCCTCTGCTCCTGATGGGTGGCAAACCGGTGAGTTTGTCGTCCAGCAACGAAGATGGGTCCACCGTCGGCAGCGACGTGGATCTAACTGATGAGGATTCGCACCGGGAACGGATGGAACCGCTGATTGCATTCCAGAGAAAGATGGCTCGCTGCGTTACGGTTTGTACTCGGTTCAAGAATTTCATCCAAGATGACGTGGCCATTAACAGAGCCGCCCGGTTGTGCCCCTGTCGACTGGTTGAGGAACGTCCGGTTGAAACGGCCGAAGAAAAGCTTACCAAACGGTTGGCAGTGGTGCTGTTTCTCGCTAGACAATGGCACGATAAGAAAGCTAGTAGACATGATGAGATAGCAGACGTTCAGAATAGAAATGCTAGCGTAAGTAGCTCCAGCAGTAATGTAAGAGAAGTTTTGGCAAAAAAAGACTGAGAAGGTAGTCATCTTGTTACTTTAAAAGAATTACAGAAGGTGGGCCTTGAATAGGATGAACTTTAAATCAAAGTTTAACTCGACATTTTGAGAGATGGAGCACACATTTAATGCCTAGAGAGCACTTCTTATATAGTCGTCAGGTATAGATTAGTGATATTTTACAGCTATAACATCTGAATTTGGTACAAATGGCATGGTTCAGAAGAATGAATGTACCAAAAGTTAATTTGAGTGTACCTACTCACTTAACTTAAATTTACCATACGGACTAAAGACCAAAATACTGATTAGGTTATATCGCTTCCAAGAAACCGGGAATTTATCATAGAATTTTGTAAACAAACATGATTTTGATTGTAAATTAAATTGACTTCCACCTGCTAAGTAATGCAAAGTACCGACATCAACAGATAGAGGAATGTTTCCTCTACCAGCTTGCATCGTTAATTTGCTGGAGTGAGCTTTTATTTGCGAGAAATCGGCGGTTGAAGTCATTGTTTACATAAACAGCTTCACCCTAATGAAATGTTGACACCGACTTGACAGTTCAACAACGGAGTAAATACTGGCACAAAATGTATCCGGATCTGATACGTCGCGGAAAATCTGACACTATGACATTTAGTTGTCACTTTGTCGCAACGCATCAAATCCCGATGCATTCTGCGTTGCTCTTAACGGATAAGCTATCATCAAGAATTTATTTGTCTCATAATTCAGTCTCAATATTCTGCTACAACGTCAAGTAATGTGTGAAAAAAATAATTTTAGAAAAAACCGTTATTAACCAAAAAGTGGTTAGATTAAACGCTTCCATTGCAAAGAAAACTCCGCTATTCTAAGCCATAAACTGCTACCGTCAATTCCTACCCCTGCATGACTGTTCGGATGGTTGGGTGTCGTAAGGTTCCCCTGTCAATCATGAATTTGCCTTCATTGGATGAAAATGTGGAACCAGTCGATACTGACACCACATACTGGACGTGACGAACGACAGATTGAGCTGGGATTATGATAACCTTTGGTCGTGGTTGGACAACGACTACAGCTGGTTGCGATTGCTCTCTCTCGTCTGCACTGTCCGTTTCTTCACCCGAAGATAGTTCATCCCTAGCCGGTTCGCACTCATCGGCAGGATCAGATGAGTCAACGGGCATCTTCATGGCATCCCAATCGAACATGTCCAACAGCTTGCGGTATGTTTTATCCCTGGACTGCACTATATCCTGGTAGGACGCCTGCCGATGGACGACAAGCACTTCGACATCCGTGGCATACTCCGGTTCGGAGTTCGCTGAATACTGGTCCGAATCAGACTCGTTCCAGGCGGCATCGGTAAGTGAATTGAAATATCTGACTACGGATGGGTGTTGATAGCGTCCTCCGGTGATAATTGGCGATGGTCCTTGGTTGCTAATTTTCGGTTGGCTTGAGCGCGGACGAATAGATCTCAGCTCACTTACGGTGCTGGAAGGCTGGTTCAAGGACATTATGGCTGAAATTTCGGTAAAGCAGTTGATTTCGTTGCACTACAGGAAAGGTTTGGGATCTTACTTGTTGTGTACTTGATGAGTGAGTATCAACAACAGTTAGCTTGTCAGTAGGATTAAAGTGATTTTGTACAACATTATTATTAGATCATGTACAACACACGCATACACATATAACTTCATATAATTTGGCTGAATGTTTACCACAGTGGATTCATATACTAGCTGATTAAATGACTGATACAAACATTAGTTTGATTTATTATTAATTGATCGAGTTTGAAACCTAATTATAGTAGGGTAAATGACGGCTTTGGCAGGAAATGATTGATTGATAGATTAACTTTGTTAGAAAGACTTTCAGTGCCTGGCTGGTTCGTCTCTTGGCAGGCATTGACTGTTTTCGACGACCAACATAAATACGTAAACGTCACATGTAGAGAAAATTAAATCTTTTATGGGTCTCTCCGCATCGTGTTCTCTTGCCATGCGGATCTATTTGCTTTTTGCTGAAGGAAGTTTTGCTGCTACCTAAATTGTTTGCATCCTCTTTTTTTTCCTTAATTTGTTTTCCGTCGATCTTGTTTTCCGTGCTGAGCAGCAATGCTACCGACGCCAGGGAGGCAGTTCCCAAACCTGGACCCTACCTATCGAGCTATAAACTCATGAACCGGGGACCAACGGCTTTACTTACGGCGTGATCAGAGATGTTACGCCTCAGAACATCCCGGTGGTGCTGACTGGGATTGAACCCAGGCCTGCTGGGGTGAGAGGTAATCACGCTTACAACTTCACAACCAGCGCCGCTAATTTTGCATTTTCTTATAAACAGTAAATCCAAACTTTGCCTTATACCCCGTACAGACTATGGCTTATATCATGTACTATAGGCTGTCTTGCAATGAGCACTCATACATACGTTCTCCAGTATCAAGGGGTATCAAGAATAAACTTCTAATATTTAAACAAGTTTTAAGACCGGCCTTTATCCTGTGCCAATATAGTTTAGTTATTGGAAAAAAGCACTTCAAACGATTCAGCACAAAGTTCTGAAGATGATTTTGAAGTTGCCTCCCTGGTACAGTACTACCGAGGTACATAGAATTTGAAATGTTGAGACTAAATTACTTATTTCAGGCAAAAATCGTTGCAATCCTCAATTGAAACGATTAATTAACTTTATACTTAGATAAGATTTAGTTTTAAAATGTCAATTGTTATACTGACATCAAATATATTATATTAATATTATATATTTGCTGACATGTAAGTTTAGAAACCTGTTAGGCTCTGAACCATTTGGTGGATTATTTTAACTCCTGGTTAAAATTTGAAAAATGGAAAGTTATCGATTAACCCTGCTATCCGAGTGTGGTTACTTCTGACAGACAATAAGTTAAAATTTGACAACTGTGGCTGAGTTCTTCACGAAAACCGGTCGATCAGGGATTTTCGAACATAGAAAATAACTTTCGAAATGTCATTTTTAACCATGTGTTAAATTTAACTCTGCAAATGGTTCACAGCCTAAAAAGCTGTACAGACTGGAGAGTTATAACATGTTATAACGGTTGTCAAATAATTGCAACACAGAAACAACAATCAAGATAGCGCTATAACATGTTATAACTCTGTAGTCTGAACGTACTATAACTCCGCTATCCAGCAGGTTATTTCTGACAGACAAGAAGTTAAATTTTGATAACCGTGGCTGAGTTCAGCTTGAAAACCGATTGATCGGTAACACAGGGCTTTTCGAACATAAGAAATAGCTTTCGAAAAGTCACTTTTAAGCACAAGTTAAATTTAACTCGGCAATGGTTCACAGCCTTAAAATACTTAATTGCCATGGCAGGATTCAATGTAAAAACACTTAGATAACAATTAAGGCTGGTAAGTTACTGTAGTAGCTGGAGTACCTAGGTTAAAATGAAATGTAATTTATTTTGAATTTTGAACAAACAATATTTCAGTTCATAATTCCTCAATTCAGTAGCTTGAAATTGACTTCCAAATATTGCTTGTCTAATTGGGTCGCTTTCTCGGACAATCTGTTTCGCGATTTTTTGACCACAAAATACAAAGTAATACAATTTTCCACATTATTTTATGATTTTAAAGTGCAGCCAAAAACTAATGTGCGCTTACCGGCACTACTGTTGAGTAGAGAGGGTTTAGTATAAGAGAGGAGCGGACTGAACCAAGCTGTCAAAGCCAAAGCCAAATGACAGTTCAGAAACCAAATCAATTGAACCACAGAGAACAGACGTCCAACTTCCACCAGAAACGAGTGAAAAAGTGCAAAGATAATTGGGAACGTCGCCGTTACGTAGCGCTAGCATCTCCTGATTTCCAAATTTTCCACTTTCGAAAAATTTGGCGCTAGTATCGATAAATTTTCGGTTGAAAATTACCACTTGGCGCTACTGGCACTTAGTGTCTAGTGTAAGTTGAGCAACACCAGCGCCATCAGGTTGTCATAGAGGGGTTTTAAGTGGGGAAATCGGCGTTGGTGGCAATTAAGTCGAATAGGAACCTTTACGCAAGTTTTTACAGCAATTTAGTTCGAGCCTCAATGTCTGTTCTCTGTGATTGAACCAACGACAAACCGACATG